TTCCAGCTGACTGGCGCCGAAGGGGCGCGGCCAGCCAGGTGGAGACCTTGGGGTTTTCCTAGGGTCAGGGCCGGCGGTGTGGTAGGGGGTGCTAACACAGCCTACCTCCTCCCCGCTTCCATTGCCTACTTGCCTTGTGACGTACCTGCCGGTCTGCTCCCATCCAGCTTGTCTAGCCGGATGCGGGTGGCAATAATTTATCCTCCTCCGGTTGTTTGCCTTTGACCATCACTCCCTCTGCTTCCCTGCAGCTGTTTTCTGGTCCAGCAAGTTTTCAACACCAAGTTGCGACTTGTTAGATATCATTCTTTTTTTAAAAAAAAATATTATTTATTTATTTTAAACTTTCCAGTGTTTTTTAGTTGTAGTTGGACATAATATCTTTATTTATTTACTTTCATGTGGTGCTGAGGATCGAACCCAGTGCCTTGCACATGCTAGGCAAGTGCTCTACCGCTGAGCCACAACCCTAGCCCCCTAGATATCATTCTTTATAAATTTCCTTGTTAATTTCAATGAAGCATAGTCAGGGAATGAACTGATTATAATCTCATCAACTTTTAGTAGAGCACTATTTGGGGTAAGCTAGTGCTTATTTAGGTATTGCTTCTTAGGATTTGCAGAAGATGGGATGCTTCTCTTAAAAAAATTGAATTGGCATTCATACTTGATTACTCTCCCAGCCAAAATGACTTGCCATAAAATAGATGCTCTAAAATCAGAAGAGCATGTTTAAAATGTAATTTTAAGGAAAAGTGATGAGTCAGAAAAGAAAACAGTCATGGAGCTATTATCATGTTTGGGAAAATAGATTTTAATTTCTTGTACAAAATTATGGAAAAGAGACTTTTCAGAGGGAGTTTATATATCTGCACCTCTTTCCAGATCCATTAAAGGTAAGGAAGCTGAAGCCTAGGGAAACAATTTACTGAATTTGCTTAAAGTTACCCGGTTAATTCACTAGTGACTTTAACAAGTTGTTTCTGCTACTGTATTTTAGAATTGTTTTGAAAAGTTTTAGTATATAGTCACTTTGTCAGTTACTTCTACTGGCAGTTTTGCCTTCATACTACTGGAAATTTTGTATGCTTTCTTTTACCATTTCTAAACTTTTTTTTTCCTTCTACAGGCTCTTTTCTCAGATAACTATTTCTTATTCTGTGGCAACATTGTTTCTGATTTTCTGATTTTTAAGTGATCAAGTTTCCTTTTTTTTTTTTTTTGATGGTAGGATAGGAACTGTGGACCTAGTATGGTAAGCAAGAGCTCTGTCATAGAGAGCCCTGGCCAAAAGTCCTTAATTTTGAAAATTTATTTTAAACAAATACTGTAAAATATCTGTTTGCTATGTTGTTATAAGAAAGCTACTTTGCATTTTTCCACATTATCACAAATCAAGGCTAAGTAAAATGTAGGAAGATTAAAAGAAAAAAAGACTTTAGCAGTATTCTTGTTTGTCACATGAATTTTCTTCAGTGAATATCAAAAATGATGTATTTAGAACTATAGTATAAAAAGTAGATGATCTATCTTTCTACTTTTTTTTTTAATTGGTTAGACTGGAATGTAGGCACATAGTTGTTTTTCAATAAATATTAACGATTAGATGAGAAAAATTTCCCCCTTACCAGAGATTGAACCCAGGTTGCTTAATCGCTGAGCCATATCCTCAGCCTTTTTATTTTTTATTTTGAGACAGGGTCTCATTAAGTTGCTGAGTCTGGATTTGAGCTTGTGATCCTCCTGCCTGAGCCCCTGGGATTAAAGGCGTGTACCCGGCAGAGCTAGATTTTTGGTGTCTCATAACATGTCTAAAATATCACAATTATGATAACTGGGGTTTGGCTCAATGGTAGAGTGCTCACCTCGCACGTGAGAGACCCTGGGTTTGATCCTCAGCACCACATAAAAATAAATAAACAAAATAAAGATATTGTGTCCATGTATAACTAAAAAAATGTTTTTAAAAAATGATGCAAAACTTTTTATTCCCAGTGAAATCATTAATATCTTTTCTATATAGTATTACTATGTATACTCATTAATATTTTTAAAACAAAATAATCTACAGTTTTTATTACCATATTGTTTTTTGTTTTTATTTATTTGTTTAGTAGTGATAGGGATTGAACCCAGGACCTTACACATAATGGGAAAGTGCTCTTATCATTGAGCTACATCCCAGCCATAATCATTTTAATTTTTTAAATGAAAGAATAAGAAACATTTTTAAATGTGAGTCATGTAGGAAAAATTTAAAAACTGCTCTTTAATATTTAGATAATGTCTAAGGAAAGCCATCTGGGAACAAGTTCGAAAAGATTATTTTATTTATTGACATTTTTCCTTAATAAATTCAGTTCAATATTTTCTTTCAGATAGTACAACTATGAAAACTTAAACATTGGTGAAATGTTTAAGATAATTAAAAAGATATAACCATCACCTAACCTCAGAATATGATGTTGCTAATGTTTTTCTGTCTTCTACTTCCCCCAACCATCCAGAAATGGTGATTTCTTTATACTTTTAATATATGTGCATTATATCTGTAAATATATCTTGCATTTTCTTAAACTTTTATTCATGTGATATCATACACTGTATATTCTTCCAGTTGTGGGTTTTTTGTTTTGTTTTTGATACCAGGGATTGAACTCAGGGCATTTGACCACTGAGTCACATTTCCAGCCCTGTTTTGTATTTTATTTAGAGACAGGGTCTCGCTGAGTTGCTTAGCACCTCTCCCATGCTGAGATTGTCTTTGAACTGGCTATCCTCTTGTCTCAGCCTCCAGAGCCACTGGGATTACTGGCATGTGCCACCCATTGCACCTGGCCTTTTTTTTTACTCAATGTTTTGAAGACTTGCCTATGATGGTTGATTCAAATTTATTGAACATTGATTCAAATTTATGGAATATTACTACTTTTTCCCCCTTCTCAGTTTTACCCCAGAGACTTTTATTGAAGACCAACTGTGTGTCAGGCATTGCTTACTTACTAAGAATATATAGGTACACTTTGCTGGAAAATCAGTCAAATCTATTAATCACTTAGCAGGGTTCACAGACATTCCCCTATCTATAGATGATTCAGAAATAGTACCAGGTGTTTCACAAAAACATCCCCCTTAGAAGAAGTCATTTGTGGAGCCCGAGTTGTGGCTCAGTGGTAGAACACTTGCCTCGCATGTGTGGAGGCACTGAATTCGATCCCTGGCACCACATAAAAATAAATAAAATAAAGGTACTGTGTCTGTCTACAACTAAAAAAAAGAAGTCATTTGTCCAAATGCTATATAATCCTAGTTACTTGGAGACTGAGGAAGGACAATTCTAAATTCAAGGCCACCTCACCAATTTAATCTTGTCTCAAAATGAAAAAAGGGCTAGGGATGTAGTTCAGTGGTCAAAAGCCCCTGGATTTAATCTCCAGTAGCCTAAACCAGCAAACAAAATAATCGTCTTTTGGATACACACAGCCTTGGGGATCCAACTGGGATCTAACCCAGGACCTAGAACATGCCTAGTGCTCTACCCTTGACCTGGACAGCCAAATGGAGAGCTACTTGTTTTGTTTTGTTGTTGTTTTTTTTTTTTTTTTTTTCTTAAACCAGGTATTGAACCCAGGGATGCTTAACTTTTGAGTTACATCCCAGACCTGCTTATTTTTTTTTATTTTGAGACAGGCTTTTCCTAAATTGTTTGGGGCCTTGCTAAGTTGCTGAGGCTGGCTTTGAACTTGTGAGCCTCCTCCTCAGCCTCTTGAGTTTCTGGGATTATAGATGTGTACCACTATGCCTGGCTGGATGACTACTTTTTGATGGAGTTTGTTTTTATTTAGCAATTTGAAATTATCTGGAATTAGAACAATGATTTATAATATCTTTCTAAAATAACACTTATGGAGCCATAAATAAGCTACTTTAGGTAAGAAACTGATTTAGTTTTTTGATGCCTGGAGACTTTTTTTTTTTTGGTGGTGGTGGTGCTGGGGATTGAACCCAGGGCCTTGTGCATGTGAGGCAGACACTCTACCAACTGAGCTGTATTCCCAGCCCTAGAGACTTTTTTTTAGTGCAACTTTTTTTTAGAGGTGTTTAACTATCATCAACAAAAAAAATGATAGACTCACCTCCCCAATTAAGTTATACATGAAAGGTTAATGGGAACCAGCTTTGAGAGATTTGTGGTTGAAAAAAATGTGATTTGTAGTTTGCTTGTCTGTTTATTTATTTATTTATTTTTCAGATTTTTTAAAAAATATTTATTTTTTTAGTTTTAGGTGGGCACAATATCTTTATTTTGTTTTTTTTTTTTTTAATGTGGTGCTGAGAATCGAACTCGGTGCCTGACACATGCTAGGTGAGCGCACTACCACTTGAGCCATATCCCCAGCCCTGAGTTGTAGTTTAATTTAAAAATAATCTTGATGTTCACCTAAAAACATTGACTAAATTTTTTTTTTGAAAAGAGGAGATATTTCCTTGTTCTTTCTTTTTTTAAAATATGTCTGTAGTTGTTGTTGGACCTTTATTTTATTTATTCATTTATATTTGGTGCTGAGAATTGAACCCAGTGCCGCACACATGCTAGGCAAGTGCTCTACCATTGAATCATAACCCCATCCCCTTTTTTGGGGGGGGTGGATACTGGGGATTGAACTCGGGCACTCAACCACTGAGCTACATCCACAGCCCTATTTTGTATTTTAGTTAGAGACAGGGGTCTCAGTGAATTGCTTAGTGCCTCACCATTGCTGAGGCTGGTTTTGCACTCACAGTCCTTTTGCCTCAACCTCTCCAGCTGCTGGGATTACAGGCATGCTCCACTGTGCCTGGCACTCCAGCCCCTCTTAATTTATTTCTGATAATCACATTATAAAGGCTTTTCTTCCTCTCTAGTGTGAGCTTTGGATTTTTATTCCGAATCAAAATTAATATTAATGCATCCTCTTTATAACTTTGTATATGTTTTAACCTTGAATTTATTTTTATAGGATTTCTATAATTGGCCTGATGAATCATTTGATGAGATGGACAGTACACTTGCTGTTCAGCAGGTAATAAGAGATTCTTTTATAACTCAGCTTAATTATTTTATTACCTCTTTGGCATAGTTAAGTATTTCTATTTTTTTTTAAACAGCATAAACCAGGTTCCACTGAGTTAATGAAATGCCCATTTAAAACTTTAATCAAGCCTCATTTTAAGATGGTATATTAAACTATAGTCAATCTTAAATCCACTTTAATATGTTATTTTATACCAGACTAGAGTACTAAATTTGATTTTATAATGAACTTAACTCAAAATTATTTGAATGATAATTTGAATAACAGATAATTAAACAACATCTGCAGTTTGGGAAAAACAGTAGTACTTAGAGCTAATTATTAAGGATTGCATTAAGGGTTTAATAGAAGAGTGACAAAGAGTGAGGTGTAATAAGAGCTGGGGGTGTAGTTCTTGTGGTAGAGCATGTACAAGGCCCTGGGTTTGATCCCCAGCACTATAAAAGAAAGAAGAAAGAAGGTAAAACAACAAAAATAAAAGCAAGAAATTGGGGTATACTAGTAGATTAGGTATTAGTTAAGCTATAATTTTATTTGCTTTTAACAGTGCTAAGAATTGAACCCAGGCCCTCATGTGTACTAGGCAAGTGCTCTACCACTGAGCTGTATTCCCAAGCCCTAGAAGTGGTTTTTCCATTCCTAAGCCAGAATTTCTATTTGACCACTCTCTGTCATCACTGTAGTATTTATTTTGGGGTTTCATATCAAGCCTAGAGTTCTTTTTTTGGTAGGGGAGGTGTGTGTGTGTGTGAGAGAGGGGTGGGGCGGGGAGGGAGGGAGGGAGATTGAATCCAGGGCCTAGTACATGCTAGGCAAGTGCTCTGTCATGCTACATCTTTAGCCTTTTTATTTTTTTTTATTTTGAGATAAGGTCCAGGCTGATCTCAAATTTGTTATCCTCCTGCCTCAGCCTCCCAGGTAGCTGGGATTATAGGCATGTGCCACTGTACTGAGCTGTTTTTGGTTTTCTTTCTTTCTTTCTTTTTTTAAGAGAGAGAGAGAATTTTAATATTTATTTTTTAGTTATTGGCGGACACAACCACTTTGTTTGTATGTGGTTCTGAGGATCGAACCTGGGCCGCACACATGCCAGGCAAGCGTGCTACCACTTGAGCCACATCCCCAGCCCTTTGGTTTTATTTCTAAACTGAAGATCTCTAAGACAACTGATGAAAGTGGCTACTCTAAACAGAATTTCACTGTAGACAAAACAGTCTCATACCGAAAAAAAAAAAAAATTATATTTAGGACATTCATAGCTAGAGAGAAGTCAATACCTCCCTTCAAAGCTTCAATGGATAGACTACCTCTCATGTTAGGAGTTAATGAGGCCAATGGCTTCAAGTTGAAACCAAGGTTCATGAACTATTCTGAAAATCCTAGGACCCTTAAGAATTATACTTAAGCCAGGTGCAGTGGTGCAAGCCTGTGAAAAGAATCTTTTCTGAGCAGAAGGTCTCAACAGTGGGCTTAAAATATTCTGTGGACTGTGTTATAAACAGATTTTGCTGTCATCTAGGCTTTTCTTTTTTTGAAACAGGATCTCTCTATGTTGCTGAGACTGACCTTAAGCTTGTGAGTCTTCTGCCTTAGCCTTCTGAGTCACAGGGATCGCCAAGAAATACAAAAGAATCAGGGTGTATACTCTATTTTTGATGAATTTTGTTCTCCTTATCACTCCATGGCTTTAATATTTCAAACCATTATTTGTCTTTGACCTCAAGTAAGGTGGTTTAAGTGAGGCCAGTAAACATTAATGAAACACTTTCTCTGTTTCAGGTGATAATACCAAAATGCAAAACAAAACTTAAGTCTTTGTGTTCATGGTCTCACTATTTGTTGGAGACATAAGAAAATAAGTGCTATTTTTTTGTGTGAAATAAATGCTAGTAAAAGTTCTGTAGAAGGAATCGTGGGGTAGGAAAGATAAAAATGAATAGACAGATTGCTAATTCAGATGATACAAAAAACAAATGTGGTCATAAATCAGAAAATTCTGTGTAGACTGGAATTCAGGCATACCTTAGAGAAATTGTAGGTTTGAATTCCAAACCACCACAATAAAGATATTGCAATAAAGCAAGTCACATGATTTTTTCTGTTTCCCAGTGCATATAAAAGTTTACAATTACCCTGTACTGTAATATCTATTAAATGTGCAATAACAGTCTAAAACACTAATAAGTATACCTTAATTTTAAATTATTTTTGAGTTGGAGGCGCATTTATTTATTAATATTTATTTTCTAGTTTTTAAGTGGACACAACATCTTATTTTACATTTATGTTGTGCTCAGGATCCATCTCAGTGCCTCAATCATGCTAGGCAAGCACTCTACCACTGAGCCACAAGCCCCTGGAGGTGTAGATTTAGTATAGCTTGCACTTAGCATTCATGAAGCCCTGGGTTGGAACCCCTGCACTGCAAAAACAAAGCAAAAAAGCAAACAACTTTATTGTTAAAAATTGCAGTCGATCATCAGAGTTCAGTAAGTCATAATCTTTTTTTTTTAAGAATGGAGAATGCTTTATAACTTGCAGCAACTATATTCGATAGCATTTTCCCCCTTTTGGTACTGGGATTGAACCACTGAACCACATTCCCAGCTTTTTTTTATTTTTGAGACAGGCTCTTGCTCAATGGCATAGGGGATCGCTAAATTGCTAAGGCTAGCTCTGAATTTCTTGCCTTAGCCTAATCCCACATGCCTGGGATTACAGGCATGTGATACTGTGCCTGGCTGTTTGATAGCATTTTACCCACACTAGTTTGACTATAAAAATTGAAATCAAGCTGGGTATGGTGGTGCACACCTGTATTTCCAGCTGCTTGGGAGGCTGAGGCAGGAGAATCACAAGTTCAAAGCCAGCCTCACCAATTTAACAAGGCCCTAAGGAACTCAGCAAGACCTTGTCTCAAAATAAGATATGAAAAAGGTCTAGGGGTGCTGGGGTTGTGGCTCAGTGGTAGAGTACTCGCCTAGCATGCATGAGGCACTGGGTTTGATCCTGAGCAGCACATAAAAATAAAAGGTTTTGTGTCCACCTAAAACTAAAAAAAAAAAAAAGTATGTATATATATATATATATATATATATATATATATATATATATATATATATATAATTTTTTTTTTTTTTAAAAAGCTCTTTTTTTAAAAAAAAAAAGTCTGGGATGTGGCTCAGTGGGTAAGCACCTGTGGGTTCAGTCCCCCATACTAAAAACAACAAGAAAAAAAAATTGAAATCAATCTTTTCAAACCCTGCTGCTAAGTTTATATAATATTCTAAACCTGTTGTTGTCATTAACAGTATTTACAGCATCTTCATCGGGTGTTTCTTCTCAAGGAAGCATGTTTTTGCTTTTCCCTAAGAAGCAACTCCATCTGTTAAAGTTTAATCATGAGATTGCAGAGATTCAGTCACATACTAAGGCTTTGTGTCTAATTCTATTGTCTTGCCACTTCTATCATATCTGCAGTTCCTCTGCTGCAGTCTTTAACCTGTAAAAGACATTTGTGAGGGTTGCAATCAACTTCCAAACTCCTGTCAATGTTAACGTATTGACAGCCTCTCACAAATCACAAGTGTTCTTTCTTTTTTAATTTAAATTGTTTTTCAGAATGATACATAAAAACATACAAGTTGTACATGTTAATTGGGGTAATGAGTGTTTTTTTTTGTGGGGGGGATACCAGGGATTGAACTCATAATCACTGAGCCACATCCCTAGCCCTGTTTTGTATTTTATTAGATACAGGGTCTCACTGAGTTGCTTAGCGCCTCATTAAATTGCTGAGGCTGGCTTTGAACTCCTGATCCTCCTGCCTCTGCTTCCCGAGCTGCTGGAATTGTAGGTGTGTGCCACCGTGCCTGGCCATGAGTGTTCTTTATACCATTTAGAATGGTAAATCCCTTCCAGATTGCTGGGATTACAGGTGTGCAGCACCAGGCCTGGCTGCTTGTCAATTTTTAAAACAACTTTCCTTGGGTATAATTAATATGCCATATAAATAACCATTTAAAGTGTACAATTCTGTGGTTCTATTCAGAGTTGAACAGCCTCAACTTAGTTTAATTTTGGATTGTTTTTGTTGACCCTAAAAGAAAACCCCATCCCCAATAGCAGTCAGCTTCATTCTCCTCTCTGCCTTCCTCTTCTCCTCAAACCTTAGCAACTGATAATCTAGTTTGCATCACTAGAGGTTTGCTTAATCTAGATATTTTATATAAATGGAATCATATGATATATTCACAGTCACATTTACATTGTCTATATTTTATATTCATATGAAAACTGTGGTTTTTCAATTTTGATCCCAGTTCTAGTTTTGATGCTCTATCTCCAATGAAGTTGACTTGGAAGGGTTACCTCCTTTTTTGAGTTAACGGATGATTCAAAACTTGATTTTCTTTTTAGTGTATAACCCAAAAGTTGAACCACAACTGCAGTTTTGTATTAAAAAATGGAATACATTTAAAACCAAATTTGTCACGTAGTACAATATTTTAATTAACCATAAGAACTTCTTTGTTTATAGTATATTCAACAGAACATAAGGGCAGATTGCTCCAATATTGACAAAATTCTTGAACCTCCTGAAGGCCAAGATGAAGGTGTGTGGAAATATGAACATTTAAGGTAAGTTCTTATGATACATTAAAAAGCAATTATGCTTCTGGTAAAGATATCCTTCAGTATCTACTAATGATAATAATGAATCAGACCTTGTAAAGATCAAAACGCCACATTCTAAAGCTTTTGTGTCTTAATTGTTAAAAAGGTTCTTCAGCTTTGTTGTTCACTGGTTGTTTCCATGTGGAGTAATGCTACAAAGTCACTTGTTTTGAAAGGTGGCTGCAGACTTGCTTTTGCATGTTTCTATATTTAGGGATTTGGGCTTACTGTCTTTTTACATGGTTTTCCTTAATAGTATCCCTTAACTACAGATGCATTTTTTTCCATTTTCCCACTCATGAATAACTTTAATAGAGGATCACCTCTAGGTCCTAATCTAGGCTTAATATCTGATGAATTACTTAAGAACTGTCCAAACTTCCAGTCTTCCCTTTGGTAAATAAAGATTAATTATATTCCTAAAGTAAGGATTTTTATGCTTTCATTATATCCTTTGAATGAGATTATTGTTGACTAGTGAATAGGTAGAGTTAACATTATTATTTTTTGTTCTGGGGATTGAACCCAAGGGTGTTGTTACCACTGAGCTAAGTTCCCAGCCCTTTTATTTTTTTATTTTTATTTTTGAGACAAGGTCTAGTTGCTTAGGACCTCACTAAGTTGCTGGGGCTAGCCTTGAACTTATGAGCCTCCTTCCTCAGCCTGTTGAGTTGCTGGGATTACAGGCATATGCCACTATGCCCAGTTTAGAGTTAACTTTGGAAGCAGCAACATCCTGAAGTTAGTACTAAAATTGTAAACTTCCCAGTGCAAGTAAGAGCTGGGATGAGTTGACAGATTAAATATAGAGAATACAGTATAAGTTTAACTGCATAATACATTCTCAACTTGTAGACGGGGCTTTTTTTTTTTTTTTTTTTTAATTCTTGATGCTGTCTGTTTGCTAAGATGTATGTCTTGATATGTCCTGTTAAAATGGTTGAGCAATTTTAGAATGATACAACTTCTTTATATGCTTTGCCAGTTTATTAGACAAATCACTTGAATATTTTATTTTAATATATTTATTTTTGTGGGGGTGAGGATCAAACCCAGGGCCTCACACTTTCTTTCTTTCTTTCTTTCTTTTTTTTTTTTTTTAAGATCTCGCTCTATTGTCCAGGCTGATCATGAACTTAAGCTTTCTAAAAGTGAGGTCTTCCCGGGGATAGGGGGATAGAACTCAGTTGGTAGAGTGCCTGCCTCACCTGCACAAAAGCCCTGGGTTCAATCCCCAGCGCGCGCGCGCGCACGCACACACACACACACAAAATCTAAAAAGTAAGGTCCAATTTCAGTGTACAGGGTTTTATTTCAGATCAAAGAAAACATTTTGTTCCCTATTTAACCTATACTGTGAGATATGCATTATATGAAACATAAAAGTTTTATTCTGTTTTTCCTGGTGCTATTATATTTACTTTTGTTATTTTTTTCTATTAACCACTTTTGGAGGGGTGAATTTAATATTGTAGTCATATATGTATTCTTTGGTCTCTTTGTTATATTGTATGTCACTGTAGTTGACCAAGAAGAGTTCCTTAAGTAGCCTTTTTGGGCTTTTTTTTTTTTTTTTCCTACATTCTTGATGTTATTGAACCTGAGGCTATGTACTTGCTGTTATTGGTTAATTAATTATATTATGATGTTAGTTTGAGTTGGATCATGACTTTATTCAAATCTCCCAGTAGCTCATTCTGAATCTTTATGATTAGAAAAAGATACCCCTTTGAATGGTGTATAGTTTTATGCCAGGATGTGTGGCTTGATACCTGAGATGTCAGACTAAATTTCTGTCCTAGCCTGTCTCTTCAGCTCTGCCATTGTATGTATTGCCCTGTATTAGATTAATTTAAAGCCTTGCTGTTAGGTTTGTACTGTTTATCCCAGATTATACCTGCAACACTTCAAAACAGTTAATTTTACTGTAGACTATAAGAAGGTTGGATTAGGTAAGACATTTGCTTATCACCACCACTGTTCGTTACCACTTAATGGGAAACAACTCAAAAACCCATAACCTGTAGCCTACTGATACAGGGAAATAGAAGATGATGGATAATTTAGAAGTAGTGTTATTTTTGCAATCTAATAAGAAATATTAGGCATCTGGAAAGAAAATTATAGACAACTAAAAATTTGATTCTTGTCTTTTTGTTTTCTTCTATTATAGTGTACCTAAAATAAATATGTAAATGAGTGTAGTTTTTCTTTTACCAAATTAGTTCATATATGTCCCCTTTATTCTTATCATTTGGAAATCCCTTTCATCTTCTAATTGTTTAGGTTTTAGCTTTGCATTTGAGGGGAAGCAAAGTTTGTTTTGGTTTATTTGGTTGTTTGGTAGTTTGTATTTGGGATTTAACCCAGGGACACTTTCCCACTGAGCCATATCTCCAGCCCTTTTCAATTTTATTTTATTTTATTTTTTTGAGACAGGGTCTCACTAAGTTGCTGAGGGCTTTGCTAAGTAGCTGAGGCTGACCTCAAACTTGCAGTCCTCCTGCCTCAGTCTCCCGAGTTGTTAGGATTATAGTTCCGCCATGCCTGGTGGAACCAAAGTATTTTAATTTGTTTGCGGGGGAAACAGTTTTGATTTTCAACCTTGATATGGTACACTAAATATTACTAGATAGTATTTTTATAGGGAACACATTCAGTAGCTTGACAACTATAAAATTATTTTTATGACATAGAGGGTTGTCTTACATCAAATGCCTGTCTAAAACTGTCTTGTAATTTCCTACATTCTTCATTTATTAAAAAATATTGAGGGGCTGGGGTTGTGGCTCAGCGGTAGAGCACTCGCCTCTCACATGTGAGACCCTGGGTTCAATTCTCAGCACCACATACAAAAATAAACAAGTAAAATAAAGGTGTTGTGTCCAACTACAACTAAAAAAATTTAAAAAAAAATATTAAGCACTTACTGTATGTCAGTCATTATATAGGCTTTACAATTATTAGTTTGTTTTAGAAGAAAAGAATATTACCAAAAAATTGCCAAAGGCCTGGGGGTACGATTTAATGGTAGAGCACTTGCCTAACATACACAGGGCCCTGGGTTTAATTTCCAGCAGAGGGGGAAAAAATTGGCAAGATCTGTTAAGTAACAAAAGCATTTTAGAAAATTGTATATGATCTGATCCCAAAATATTTAAAAAAAATTTTTTTTGTACTTGTAGATGGACATCATGCCTTTATTTTATTTATTTTTGCATGGGATGCTAAGGATCAAACCCAGTGTCTCACACATGCTAAGTGAGTGCTCTGCCACTGAGCCACAACCCCAGCCCAATCCCAATATATTTTAATCTGTACATAGAAAAATAAATTTGCATTAAAACAGTAGTTAACTTTTGGGAGAAATAGTTGAATTATAGAAAATTTACATCTTCTACATTATAAATTTGGTAATGTTTGACTTTTGTTTATTGTTTTAGTTTTATGGTGCTGGGAATAGAACCCAGAGCCTCATACTGGCTAGACAAGCAAGTGCTCTTCCATTGATGTACACCCCCAACTCTGAAGATTTTAAAGGAGTATATTATTCATAATGAGAATAAAACTTTGAAAATACATATAACACATTTATTCTATCAGAAAAAGTCTAGTATTCTGTGTCTCTTTGTATATGAATATATACATATACTTTTTTAGACAACTGAAATATTACTATAAACAGACATTTACCCTTTGTATGTATATATGTGCCAAAATTTTACTACCCTCCAATTGAAATATTTCAAAAAAATTTGTCATATTATAGTTCCTGTGAACATCTTTGTAATCTGTATCTGCTGCAGTTCTAATTATTTTATTACAATAGATGGATGACCTAGTTTAAAAGTACACAATTTCTAAGACTCTGGTTAAATATTTTCATATTACCTCTTACAAAAATCATATTAATTTCTAGTGTATAAAAGAGCAATCAGCTCTCTGGACTCTGCTGTTGAACCTTTTTGGGTCATTGCTTTTGGGTTTTAATATGTAAATCTTTGGAAGAAATGTGCCATTGTCAGTTCTGGTGGTGGTGATAATAGTGATGAGAAAGGAAAAATGATACTGATGAGATTCTATTTCTACAATTAATTTTCTAAAAATAACTGGAGCCAGGCATAGTGGCATGTGCCTATAGTCCCAGCTACAAGGGAGCTAAGATGGGAGGATTGCTTGAGCCCACAAGTTCAAGATCAGTCTGGGCAACATAGCAAGATCCTGGCTCAAAAAGAAAAAGAAAAAAAAAAAAACCTGTGGAGAATGTGATTTTTCATTTATATATTTGCATTTTCAGGCAATTCTGCCTTGAACTAAATGGACTTGCTGTCAAACTTCAGGTAATATTTTCTGTAAGTTAAAGCTGTAATTAAAAGTTCTGATATATTTCTGTTTTTGTAACTTAATGTGATTACAAAGACTTATCCGACTTTTCTAATAATTTTTCTTGTATTTTACATGGAAATGTAGTAACCCAATGATAATCATTTTCATCATTATTTTACATATTAACAAATACAATTATTTTTAACAGAGTGAATGCCACCCAGATACTTGTACTCAAATGACAGCAACTGAACAATGGATTTTTCTTTGTGCAGCTCATAAAACTCCAAAAGAGGTGAGGATTTATGAAATAGAATAACTAGTAATCATCATAACCTAAATATATTCAAGACATTGGTAGGCAGATTTTTAGGATTTTCAATTTCTGTTTGTTTGCCACTTGGTTTAGAATGTCTTGCCTGCAAGGTTATTACCACAGTGCTGTTTTAGGATTTCTTATGATTAGCATCATTTTTCATACTTCAGCAATTACGTGCAGTAGAACTCACTTTCTGATTAACTGACTTACCACAAAATAATATTTTCACACTAATAGTTGAGATATGCTTGTTTATATTTTTGTTGTCATATTCTTTTTTTAAAACATTTTTTATTGTTGTTGTAGATGGACACGTATCTTTATTTCTATTTGTTTATTTATTTATTTATTTGGTGCCGAGGATTTTGAACCCAGGACCTCACACCTGCTAGGCAAGCGCTCTACTACGGAGCCCTTTTAATTTCTTTTGAGAGGCAGAACCATTGATTACTTATTGATGTCTAGTCTTTTTTTAAAAAAATACTTTTTTTGTTGTTGATGGACCTTTAATTAATTAATTAATATGTGGTACTGAGAATCAAACTCAGTACCTCATACATGCTACGAGAGTGCTCTACCATTTGAACCACAACCCCAGACCTGATGCCTAGTCTTAGTAGAAATGTTACTTTTGAGATTTTTAATATTTATGTTGTTTTTCTTCTCAGTTTTTGTCAGGGTATACCCTGAGTGTGAACAATAGCAATTGTTTATCATTTTTTTTTTTTTTTTTTTTTTTTTTTTTAATTTTTTTAATATTTATTTTCTAGTTTTCGGCGGATACAACATCTTTGTTTGTATGTGGTGCTGAGGATCGAACCCGGGCCGCACGCATGCCAGGCGAGCGCGCTACTGCTTGAGCCACATCCCCAGCCCTGTTTATCATATTTATTTTAAGTCATTCCTTTTTATTATCTGATGCCTAATATGTATTCACTTTTCCTTGTTTTAAAAATGTCCTTTATAGCTGGTTTGTTTACACTATGCATTGTGTTTCCCATGATCTGCATTTTTAAAAAATCTATAGTAATTACTTTTTACTTGACATTTATTAAGGATATTGGTCTGGGCCAGTTCTGTAGAATTATTGATCTTCAAATGCTTATTATATTGAGAGATCTCTAAAGCTAAAGACAAGCGATGTTCAACTTGCAAAATCAGTATTTGGTGTTCTTTTGTTTGAAAAAAGATAAATTCCTATAGGTGCATTGGCTCATGCCTGTAATCCCAGCGGCCCTGGAAGCTGAGGCAGGAGGATCACAGGTTCAAAGCCAGCCTCAGTAAAAGTGAGGCACTAAGCAACTCAGTAAGACCCTGTCTTTAAATAAAATGCAAAATAGGGCTGAGGATGTGGCTCAGTGGTTGAGTGTCCCTGAGTTCAATTCCTGGCACCCCTCCACCCCCCATCCCCCCCAAAAAAAGGGGATAAATTCCCAGAATAAGGAGTATGTGGTACCTGTGTAAGCAAATGGTAATTATTTGGAAGACCAGTTTCATTCAGGATTACATTTTTTGTATTAGTAGAGTGAAGTAACATGAAGATTGTGCATCAGTTTATATCTGGGAAAATCCACATAGCTTTTCATTGATAATTCCCTGAAGTTGGCTAGTTAATGTAGTGATCAATATGATAATTGAAGTTAAGAAACTGTATTATGTCAGTTTTTCATTTCTGTGACCAAACTACCTGACATGAACAACTTAAAGGAAGAAAGATTTGTTTTGGCTAATGGCTTAAGAAGTATAAGTCCATGTTGGGCTGGCTGTAATACTTTGGGCTTCAGGTAAGACAGATCATGGTAAAAGGGCATGGCTGAAGAAAGCTGCTCAGCTCATGACAGCTGGAAAGCAGAAGGGAGAGAGTGGCCAGGAACTATAAATACCCTTTAGGGCATGCCCCCAGAAACCTTCCTCCAACCACGTCCCAGTGCCTACAATTTCTACCACCTCCTAGTATTCTATTCACTTATTAATGGATCAATCACTAATGAAGTCAGAGCCTTCATGAACTAGTCACCTCCTAAAAGCTCCACCTCTAAGCATTGCTGCTTTGGAGACCAAACCTTCAGCACATGAGACTGTAGGGGACATTCTATATCCAAACCATAACAAAAACTAAGTCAAGAAGACCAGGTTCATTTTGCCAAAAGGTAAAGATGCATTTTTCTCACTTTGGGTTAGAGATGTTCTTCTGTTTGTGATACATTATGTCTTAAATATAGTGTCATTCTCACATCTACTGTCTTCCTTATTAATATTAAATGTAAGCTGGGATAATCATTAGCATTAGGACCTATAGTGAAGTCTTAAATTGCAACATTGCTTGCTGAGTTCTAGTTACAATGAATTGGCCAAATGTCGAGGAAGGATGATAGTGCTATTTCCAAGTGATAATTTATAGAATGATGTTAATGTTAAAAATAAAAACAGAAAGCCAGGCATGGTGGCACACACCCATAATCCCAGAGGTTTGGGAGTTTGACAGGAGGATCAAAAATTCAAAGCCAGCCTCAGCAACTTAGCAAGGCCCTAAGCAATTTAACAAGTAAGCACCCCTCGGTTCAAACCCCAGTATAATTTCTGAACTCTTTTGAGGTAATTGTGCATAATCAAGAAACTATAGAAATTGACAGACTAGTAGATAATAAAATTGCCTTTAATTTGATACAGGGTCTCACTAAATTGCTAAGGCTGACTTCAAACTTTTGATTTTCCTACCTTAATTATCCAAGTTGCTGAGATTATAGGTATATACCTCCTGCCCAGGATTTTTTGTTTGTTTTTTGGCACTTGGGATTGAACCCAGGTATGCCTTACCACAGAGCTCCATACCCAGCCTTTTATTTTTTATTTTTCCCATTCAGTGAGTAGGGCCTCCCTAAGTTGTTGAGGCTGGCTTCAAATTTGCAGTCCTCTTGCCTCAGCCTCCTGAGTCTCCTGGATTGCAGGTGTGTACCACCATGCCCAGCCAACCCCACCCCCTTTTAGTTGTTTATATGTTTGCCATGATACCATACTGAGCTGTCTTTAGTAGTTATTGCATTTCTAAATGTCACCTTCAGTTTCAGCACCTGAAAAATAATTCAAATTACTAAATAAAGCTAGAATCATTATTATTCCTTTCTCTAGTTGTTTTCCTTCTGGTCCACTCTTGGCTTATTCCTAATCATCCTTGTCCCTTGATGTTACTTCCTTTCTGTCTTCAGGGAAATTACTTTGTAGTTTTATTTTTCTCTTTAAGTTTACTGACTCTCCATGAGCTGATATATTTAATTGTTTCTGATAAATGTAATAGAATAAGACAGGTTTATTAAAACTTAAAGATACTTAAAATTTTTACATGAAAATTTAAAAGAGGTTCAAGGAGAAAGTGTTTTAGGGAGCTTTTAGATTGGCAAATGGCATCCCAGGGGGATAATGAGGGATGTTTTCCAGGTTGTAGGAAGGCAGTGGTCCCTGGAAATAATTTGTGAAGGGAAGGAGGCTTTGGGACGCTTAGTAATGTATAAACCAGTAGGCTAGGAATTAGTGTATCTGGGATGTTGTTTGGGAGCCCTTTTTCCTAACTATATGATTTGCATAATTATTGACCATTCATTTGACGTTGAATGTATAATCAGGTTAGATTAGTTAAATTAGGGGTGCTTTTCACTTGCTTTTTTGTTTTTGTTTTTGCATTGCTGGGGATCATCCCAGGACCTTTTACAAGCTAGGCAAACGCTTTACCACTGAGTTACATCCCCAGCCATCTTCCCAGTCCTAAACATTGTTTTCTTCTAGGTTTATTGTTTGGAATGAAATTGGGAGACTGATTAGTGTATCTTCTAGAAGCCTGATATTATGGTTCATGTGAATATAAAAGCTTTATTTATTGATGTAACATTGTCTTTTATGATCATTTTGAAATTGTAAAGGACTTTTTTCTTAGAATATACTCAAGTCTTTGGAGTAAGTTACCTAGATAATAAATATACCTGATTTAAGAGATAGAGCTTTTTGCTGATGCATTTTTAAAATCTTTTCTTTTCTAGTGTCCTGCTATAGACTATACTAGACACACACTTGATGGTGCTGCGTGTCTTCTGAATAGCAATAAATATTTTCCCAGCAGGTAAACAAAGCTTTAAACATGATGTTAAATTTTGTGAGTTTACTTTAAAAGATTGATGTTTTAAAACTAAAATTAGGTGATGGTTATTATTTTTTTTAAGCTATGTTTATTTGTTTATGGATTTTTGTGGGCTTCTTGTTTTTTGTTTTTATTTTGGTGGTACTGGCAGTTGAACCCAGGACCTTGTGTGTGCTAGGCAAGACTCTACCTTTGAACTACATCTTTAGTCAAATTACTGTGATATATTTTGGCTTGCTCATATAATTCAAGTTTTAAAATTAGGATTATAGTTAAACAGCAGGACTTGTTTCCCAAACCTCATAGACCAATTCAATCAAGATTAGTTCTGCCTCTGTGCATCATTTCCTAGGTCTCTTCCTATCATGCTTTAGAGTTGAGATATTTACGAGCTTGTTCACTTGAATCTCTGATAGTCATCCTCTACTTATACAGCATGCCTACAGTACAGACTTTCCTAAGTTGGAGCACTTGTTTTTGTAGGATTCTTTTTTCTCTCCTATAGTATTTTTTGTTTGTTTGTTTCCCTATAGATTTTTAAGATCTGGGAAGAAGCCATGTATACATTATATTATTGGTGAGGTTTGTGATTGGTCTTTTATTCTTTTAAGACATTTGTTACTAACTTGGGAGGCTGAGTCAGGAAGAAGCAAGGAAGATTGGCCAGCTTGGGAAACCTGGGGAGACTCTGTCTCAAAAATTTTGAAAAAGGGGATAGGAATATGTAGCTCAGTGGTAGAGTACTTGACTACCATGTGTGAGGCCCTGGATTCAATACTCAGTACTGGGGAGTAGGGGATGGGGAGTCAATTTGTTTCCTGGTGGTTGGACTTGAGATTTTTTTTCCTCCAAAATATTTATATTTGCTCAAGAAGCTCATATAAAATACTTTTTTTTTTTTTTAAAGTGGTGCTGGGGACATAGCTCAGTTGGAAGAGTGCTTGCCTCGCATGCACAAGGCCCTGGATTCAATCCCCAGCACCACAAACAAACAAAAGTGATTTTATTTCAATATCCTGTATATACATATTTTTAAAAAGAATATCAGAAATAGGCATATTTTGATTTTTCAGAAAATCCAGTTCTATAGAATAAGGAATATTCCTCTTTGTTTTAATCTCCTCTACTGGACAGAGTATTAACATAGTAAAATATTGTATTAAGTTTTGAGTTATCAGGGATTCATTTTAACTGTATTGAACTTTATAAGTTTCAGAACTGTAATATTGAATTTAACTTCAGTACTGTGGTTAAGGTGAAAGAGCACTGGCCCGGGAGTGAGTATTGGGAGGGTTACAGGTCTGCTTCTGGCACTTGTTAGTATTGTGTGATTTTAGATTAGTCACTTATTTTTTCTAGATGTAGATTTCTATACTTGTAAATTGAGAAGATTGTATTATATTGTCCTAACATTTTATTGAGCTCTACGAATCCATGATTTTGTTTCTGTTTTTAGGGTTAGCATAAAAGAATCATCTGTAGCAAAACTAGGATCAGTATGCCGTAGAATTTACAGAATATTTTCACATGCTTATTTTCATCACCGGCAGATATTTGATGAGTATGAAGTAAGTATATTTCATTAATTATACTAATAACATTTTTATCAGAATGATAATATGTGTTGATATTCTAGTTTTTTGATTTTGGATAATAAAATAACTTCTTTTCCTTCCTTTCTACAGAATGAAACATTTTTATGTCATCGATTTACTAAATTTGTGATGAAATATAATTTGATGTCGAAGGATAACCTGATTGTACCAATTTTAGAAGAGGAAGTTCAGAATTCAGTTTCTGGGGAAAGTGAAGCATGAAGGGAATCATACAGAAAAATGTACTGATCACATAATTAACGTTAATTATGTACTGTATATATATATATCATTTTAGACACATCAATCATGTATCCACATTATAGCTTCTTTCTTTAGTATAGGTTTTTGTATGCTGTGTGTTGCCTTTTAAAATGGGAAATACTTTTTAAGTTATTCATGAGCTGTATATTCACCAGTGTGGCACTCACAGTTTTTAAATAAGATTAGTATTATCTGTTTATAATGCTTGTTAATAAAAGAATTTACAGTTTGGTAAAATTGCTGCTAAACAATCATTGGATCACAATCCTCATCAAATAAACCTATCTATAAAAATGAGTGAGCTTGAAGTTTCAACAAGCCATTTACTGAAAAGATAGTAATGTTTTCCTTTGATTTTACCCCTGAGTTTAGATATTTTAAACAATTCTGTAGTACATAGTTTCATCTTAACTGTTAACATTTTGAAAATTAGATAAGTGTTTTAAAATTCTGTTTATAGTTTTTGATATACATATGTGATTATTATCCAAATAAAAGAGCAAATGAGGGATTAGTAATACTTAAATAAGTTTACTGTGCTACATAAAGTATGTTCTAGGCCAGTATAGTATAGTTGGAAAGGTTTTACCTTTTCATAATAGCAGATTATTAAATATGTGATGATGATAACAGTAAGGCACTAAATGATGTTCCCACTGGAAACCTGCCCTGTCTCCTCCTTCTCATATCCCTTAATCCTCTCCCCAAACCACTTTGGCTTAGAAGTTTTTTCACCATGATTTAGTTGTGGCTTATTCCTATTTATATTTGTATTAATTGCTTACAGATTATACCTCGTATTAGCAATTATATTACACTACAGGAAAACTGTATTGGCATAGGCTCTTGCTTATCTTTGTTTTGGGAAATTGTTCTTACTACTTATAGCCTTAAGATAGTTTGACGTTTCCTGTTAGTGATATTAATCTTCTAATCCTAGCAGCATTAAATAGAAATGAAGACATCCTATAGTATTTATTTTATGCCCCCTCCCCAAAAATTTATGTTGAATTATTATACAAGTGAGATTATTTGTAGTAATTTACAGGTTCCAATGATGTTTATGCATGGTCATATGTTTTGGGACTTTGTTATAATTCATTGTCTTTAACAAAAATTCAAGTGCAGGTTTAACAATTTTATAATTTGTTGAGTAAGGTTTTTTGTAAAGTGTTGGAGGTCTTATTGCCAAACTGGTTTTAATGACTCACTAAGATAGGATAAAAAAATTGTACGTGTTGTGAAGAAAATACTGAAAGCCATCTCTTGACCAAACTTAAACAAACTTGAGGAACTTTTTTTTTTTTTTTCATTTAAAGGAGTTATTTTGAAGTGAAGATGAAAATGTATTCATCTTAATTTTTTTTTAATTTGAGGAAATAAATTATACTGTATTACAAGGCAAGTATGTACAGAAAAGGGTGAGAAATAGAAGACTGAGAGTATGTTTATATAGTTTATTCTTTTCCAAGCCTGCCTGTCTTTTTGACTTTAAACAGTACTATCCCAGCAGCCACAGTCATTACTGTACCACAAACCACAATTATCTTTCAAGAAGTTTTATGTTCACAGTGAAAGGAATGTATTGACTTTGAAATTATGCATTTATATTAATGTTAGTATAAACCAATGGGAATAGTACTTTTTAAACAAATTTGCTAAATATTGAGAGACTAAACTACTAAGTTAATAAATTATATGTAGCAATGTAGCTGTTCTCTGGATGGTGTCTCACAATGGATTTCTGTTGCTTGAATATTTTCTTAGTGAACATTTGAACTAAGGTAGTGACTGGGATTGGTGATTTGGCTAAATATTTTGAATCTTAGTGTTAACAGGGAAATAAAATACCATTTTTTTCCTAACTCATTCCATCCTCCTCCCTGTACTGTGTGTTTGGAATTGATCTTTAAAAAACAAACTCACTCACTCCAAAAGAAAACCTCAGTTCATAGTCTTGTTTTTGTATTTTGTATTCATGTTGACATCTCACTAATCCTCATTATACTGTGAAATTAATTGACTATACTTGTTAAGACCTTAAATGAAATAATTTCTGGTTTTCTTTAATACTATTTACAGAATTTTGAAAATTCACATGTACATGAGTGGTGTTTTTTTAAAAAAGGATTATTGAACCTGAGCTGGCAAACCATTGATTAATGAAGTGTTATAAGAAGAGGAAAAATGGGGAATTCACCGTTCTGTGTGATAAGGAAGTTAGGCTTTACTTTTTGTTTTAAAAACTATATAAATCCAAAAGTTAAAATTAGATTTTCTTTTCATAAAGACATATAGTCAACTCACTCTCTTTTTCCTGTTAATTCTGAGAAAGTAGCCAACTTCTAATCACTTACATTTCTCTAAGAATTATAAAGTTCCTTTGTCTATATTTTCTTTTCTATGACTTGAGGTGTCAAATTTGCATTTCTAGAAGTATCTCAGGTTTTTTTTGTTTCATTTTTGCAGTGCTGAGGATTTAACCCAGGGATGCTTAACCACTGAGTCATATCCCTAGCTTTTTTTATTTTTGCAGTGAAACAGGATCTCACTAAGTCACTTAGGACCTCACTAAGTTGCGGAGGCTGGCTTTGAATTTGTGATCCTCCTGCCTCAGCCTCCTGAGTCACCAGTCTTATAGGTGTATGCCACCACACCCAGCCTGGTTAAATTCTTAATAACCACATTTTTTACTATCAGAATAAAATTAGAAACCTGTGATTGAGTTGTGGTTATAAACACATTTACTGATTGTGAGAGTCATTGTAGTAGAACTAATTTTTTTCCCATGATATTTTGCCTAATCTCTATATGTTGACAACTTTAATTTTCAGGACTTTCTGTAATTTTATTTCTGCAATTCTGTAATTAATATTCAAGAATACTTCTAGAATGTACTAAAGCTTTTTTCTATAGTTTCTTGCTAAGCAAATGTTTTAGTTAAAAGTAGTTGATTTTTATTTTTTGAACCATCTAATTTTTTTCCATGTTCATTAATTTCTTTAAGGATATTAAATAATAATTTGGAATTTTTTTCCGATAATGACATCAGATGCTTTTGCATCTGGTTTTCTTTTTTAAAATTCTTTTTAGTTATATGTGACAGTAGAAAGTATTTTGGCAAATTATACATACATAGACATGTATTATTCTAATAAGAATCCCCTTGTAACTAATTGTTAATGAAACAGACAATACAGATGTATTTGTACAACACATTTAGCAGTTTGAGATAGTCAAAACATTCACATCTGTTTCCTGAAAAAATAGGCATTATTACTGTCTGGCACACTACAAAACTGGAAAACTACTATGAGTCCACTAGGTGTTAGATGACTCATCCAGCAGGTTGAGGAGCCTCATTCTTTGTGTGATTTCTTTCCTGCCATTGATAATTTTTTGTAATACAGAAAGTTTAATATCAAGTATGTGAAACTAAATTTTCATATTAATCTGACTTTCTAAAAGATAAATATATTAACATTTAGATTTTTTTTTTTAAAGAACAGGATAGAGTATTTTTGTTAGTTTGTTTTTTTAAGAGAGAATTTTTTAGTATTTATTTTTAGTTTTCGGTGGACACAACATCTTTATTTTTATGTGGTGCTGAGGATCGAACCCAGTGCCCCGCGCATGCCAGGCGAGTGCACTACCGCTTGAGTCACATCCCCAGCCCCGACATTTAGAATTTATATCCATGAAGATAGTATATAAAGGGCCTGATCATTGTCAAATTATGACATCAACATTCAAAACTAGTCAGATGTTCACTTTTTAGTGAAATCGGGATTTTATCTGGAGTAGATTTCTATAAGCCTTGGTAAGTGCAATTTATAATTACATAAACAGTGTGTTTACCACTTTGGGAAGACCTCATGAGAGCCATCTGTACCTTGTGTAACAAAACTTTTCCCTTCAAAATTGTAGTTTTGGGGTCTGGGAGTACAGTTCAGTGGTAGAGCATTTGGCTAGCATGCTTGAGGGTCTGGGTTCGATTCCCAGCACCAAAAAAATTATGATTTACATTATAGGTGGTAGGATTATCAGTTTGTATATATGTGTGAGAGAGAAAGAGATGTCAAAGTAAATGTTCATGTTACAATGCATTGTTAAAGAATTTTTCTTTCTTTTGAACCCAGGGGCGCTTAACCACTGAGCCACATCCCCAGGCCCCCTTTTTATGTTTTATTTTGAGAAGAGAGAGCTTCACTAAGTTGCTGTGGCTGGCTTTAAACTCAAGATCCTCCTGCCTCAGCCTTCCGAGTTGCTGAAATTAACAATGTGTGCCACTATGCCTGGCCGTAGAAGAATTTTCTACATCCCTATAAGTATTTGCTTATTTTAAATATTTTTGGTTTTCCTTAGTATCAATGTCTAGAAGAAAGTTGTTTTTAAGAGCTTAAATAGAATTCTATTTTTCCCCAACCTCTCAGAGATAATTTGAAGGGAGCTGATAAAGAACTAAGGGAACCCCATCTAAGGGAATAATGGGTAAAGTTATTATTGCAATAGCAAATGAGGTGATCCTTTATTCACTTCCAGTAATTCAATTGGATCTCTTTGAGGTTAAATCCCTACTTACCTTCTCAAAAGGTACCATTATGTTTTTAAAACTACTGGGGGCTGTAGCTCAGGGATAAAATACTTGCCTAGCATCTGTGAGGCACTGGGTTCGATTTTCAGCACAAAGGTCTCTTGACAACTAAGAAAATGTTTAAAAAAAAAAAACAGGAGGGAGAGAAATTATACTTGATTTTTGATAATACTTAGATCACTTTAAAAATCTTTGTTGCTTTTATGGAAATAAAGATTTAGCTTAAAAAATGGTGGTTTTGGCTTTTTAACATTTTATAAAACAAATGTGTTTCTCGGGTTCTGATGTTGAGATACCATGTCAATGATTATATTTGTTTCCTGTGGCTGCTGTAGTAAATTACCACAAATTTAGTGGCTTAAAACAATACAGATTTATTCTCATTTCTTCAAGTCAGACCTCAAAATCAGTTACACTGGGCTATAATCACATTTCTGGTTCCTTCTGAGGCTCTGAGGGAGAATCCTTTCCTTGTTTTCTTCTAGTTGCTGGTGGCTACTAGCATTCTTGGGCTAATGGCTGCATCATTCTAGTTTCTACATCCATTATCTCCATGCTCTCTTCTGCAGTGGGATCTCCCTCTACCAATGAGCACATTTGTGATCACATCCTTGTGGCCACTTGAATCCAGGTTAGTCTCCCACGCTCAAAAGAATTTTTCTTTCTCTCTTTTTTTTTTTCTTTTTTTGTGGTGCTAGGGATCAAACTCAGGTCTTTATCCATGCTAGGCAATAGCTCTACCATAAGCCTAAGCCATGTCTCCCTCAAAATTCTTAATCACATTTGCAATGTTTCTTTTGCTATCTGAAGTGACATTCACAGGTAACATGGTTATAGGGGCCTTTGTTCAGCCTGCCACAACAGTTCTCTCAAATTCATATTGTTACTCTTAAAAACTTCTCTTTCTATGGACTTAATCTTGACTCTGATAGAGCTATTTTTTATTTCCTACTTGTTATCCACTTCTTCATGCCTCCCCCCGTTTACACACATTCAAGTCTCTAAAAAGGTTGAATTAATTTGAGATCACTTCCTACAAATTACCATTTACTTCACCCTCCTCATAGTTCTTGGTAAGATTTATTTTTAAAATTTATTGTGGTAACAACACTTTTAGGGTCTCCTCCTTCTTTCTGTGTTCTGATAAAAAAACACAGCATTAATCGTTTTGTGACCTACCAGATTTTTCCCAGCAGGCTTGAGCCCAAACCAGGCCCTTGAGCATTCCTAGGCACTGATAAAGATGTTTAGGTTGTTCCCCAAAACTAAAGGAAACTGGCCCTGGTCCTGAGACAAGATTCCTTAAATACTGGAATGAATTCTGTACCCTGTCTTCCGTGCTGCAAACATACCTAAGTAAGACACCTCTTTCTTGCCTCTGTTGAGAGGATTACCTGCAGCACTCTTAAATTTCCCTAATAGTTTGAACTGTTCACCCTGGCATTTAGGGCTACTTTCTTTGGAATCTGAACTGGCCCCATCTCAGTATGGTTAGGGGCATTCCATTTTGGGAATTTCCATGCATCAGATTTTAGGACAACTCCAGCTTTGTTGATGGGAAGAAATATTTGAGATTTACCAATTTACAAGTTTTAAGTATATAGTATTGTTGACTGCAAGTACAATGTCAGATAGCAGATTTATAGAACTTATCTCACTTGACTGCAACTTTTGATTAGTGACTCCTCGTTCACCCTTCCTATGCTCCTGATAGCCACCATTCCACTCTTGGATTCAATACATCTTTCTATTTTTTAGATGCCTCATATAAGTGAAATTATGCAGTATGTGTCTTTAATTATTTCATGTAGTGTAAGATCTTCAAGCTTAATTCATTTTCTTTTTTAAAACACTATATTGTATGTATTATCACATTTTTTTGTTCATCTGTCAATGGACATTTAAGTTGTTTGTATACCTTGGCTATCGTAATAAACCAAAGAATGCTAATGTCTTTTCAACATTTGGATTACAGTTCTTTTGCATATATGCTCAGAAGTAGCATATGCATTTGTACTCTTGCACTCTGCCCCAACCCGAGTTTTAGATTCAAGTTTTAGATTATTTCCTAAAATAAAGCCAAATCTGGGGGCTGGAGGTCTAGGGGTAAGCACTAGTCTAGCATGCTCAAGACCCTAGGTTTGACCCTGAGTACCTCTAAAAAATAGAAATATAAAGCAAATCATATTGATTTTGGTGATAGGAAGTCACTATACTGTCCCCAAATAGATAAATCTCCTCAATGTATATGCCAAACAACACTGCACAAACCTGA